TGTCCCCCCCCCCCCCTTCAGTGCTCAATGTCCTCGCTGGCACACCACTCGGTGTCTGACTCTAATATCATTTGTAATGGTTTAAGCCCACCGCTAGCAAATATTGTCATCTTTGGGCTTTCCCATCGGCCTTCCCCTCAAGGTTTTTAAAGCACGTTTGTTAGGGAGAGGTTTCCACACCCTTATAAATAATGTTTCATTCTCCTCTCCAACTGATGTGGGATCTCACAATCCACCTCTCCTCCCCAACCGATGTGAGATCTCACAATCCACCCACCTTCAAAGCCCAACGTCTCATTGGCACTTGAACCCCTCTCCAATCGATGTGGGATCTCACAATCCACCCCTGTTCGAAGCCCAACATCCTTGTTGATACATCGTCCAGTGTCCTCACTGGCACACTGACCAGTGTCTGGCTCTAATACCATTTGTGACAGCCTAAGCCCACTGCTAGTAGATATTATCATTTTTTGATTTTTCCCTCAAGGTTTGTAAAATGTGTTTGCTAGGGAGAGGTTTTCAGACTCTTATAAAGAATGTTTCGTTCTCCTCTCCAACCGATGTGAGATCTCACATTTTGGAGAAAAATGACAATATAATGACAGGTCTTAGAAATAAATCTGATAATATGTTGGAGGCAGGTTGAGAAAAAAATGTGTTCCCAATCAAACCAGGGACTGGATGAACCTGGACTTCATGTTTAATTGTAATGGTTACACTCAGATCCAACAAACAAATAAGAACCTGTAAAGCAAGTTTCTGTCAATAAGAACATGTTCTTGGGGCCATTGCCATCCTAAAATGCTAATAAACTCAGTTTGTAGAGCTCACTGTTGCATCATCACAACATTCCTGAGGTGGTGTAACACTACTACAAACACACTCCATGGCTTGTACAGAGAGACTAGCAAATCGCATAAGCGCCTGAAAAACGTTGGGGAGGTCGGTTTTCAGATGGTTTAATGTCATGGCTCGGCCGACCTGGATGGAGTTCAGATATTTGGCCTTCTCAGTATCGACAAGTTTCTTCAAGGCATCAGTTTTTGAACACTTTAGCATCAAAGGGTTCTTGTGGCTCAAATTGTCATTTCCATCTTCAGACTGAAAGCTTCTCCCTAGCTTTTTTTCCATCTCCGCCAATGAGTGAATCTCTTTTTGAAGTCTCTTATCCAGCTTTTGGTATTTCCTTTGAAGGTTCTGTTCCTCCACTTGCTGGAGTTTTAGGGAGTTTATGGCTGACAAGAAATTCTTGATGGCCTCTGAAGCTGCCTGTAAAAAAGACGGGGAGGGAATAGAAATTTGGTGCTTCTCATGCAAAGTAAATAGGAAAAACACATAAACCTACTTAAAGTAAGCCAATTTTCAAGGTCTTTTAAGTCAAAAATGGTGACAGAGGCACAACATTCACTTGGTGAGTAGAGAAATCCACCAATTACATCTATCAGTAATGGCAATAATGAATACAAGCGAGTAACACAAAAAGGAAGCCCGCAACAAAGCAGAGCCAACCAAAGCACACACAATAATATAAATTAATAGTTAAAGGAAGATAAAAGAAGATTACCATTTTTCAGCACATGATTTGACATGCAGAATAATATAAAGTATGACTTGTCAAAGAAGCATCTTATCTTCTACCAAAGATAAATTTCAAATATGCTCAATTATGGCCAAAATCAGCATAATTTAGCGTTTAAAATATGTGGTTTAATTTCCTACCGTGGAGTAAAAGATACGCTCAAGTAAGATTGAAATTGATTTTTTAAAAAAATTTGTGCTAACTTTGAACTAAAAGATCAACATTTTTTCCATGACAACATTCTCCAGTGATTCATACCTTTAATCATCAGAACAAGGTCAAAGTACTCATAAACTAAAAATTACTCTATGATAAGTACCTTGCCAGGTAATCTTTCAAGGGCATCCTGCCATTTTTCACAGAGGTTAAGAACCACAGATGCACAAACACTCCGTCTATCATGATCGACAAGGAAGTCGGTAAGTTGAGTCCACCTACAGAGGGCTTTTACATACTCTCGCTGATATTTCACGAGGTTGCAGAAGCTGTTGAACCAGGCAGTTATCTCGGCCGCGAGCTGAGCCATGGCTTGGCGATGGTAATCTGTACTTAGATCCACATCATGGTTGTTACTTTGATGGTTCAACTGCTGGGAGATCTGATTCTGAACTTGATGGCATTCAGACATTATGTTCCACATGTGCAATAACCTGTACAAAAGTGAAGCAGAAAAATGAAAAGGGACGATAATAGATAATTTTAAGACTCAGAGAACACAGATATTTGCCAAAAGACCAAAGGCAGAGAGATTATTTTAGCTTGAGTATAGTTTTAGCAAAGCAACTCCCTTAACGGGACAGAATGAATGAGGATGAAAATATTTAGTGGGTAGAGTAGATGCAAGCAGCCAAGTCACCAATTTCCTTTTGCTTTTTTCTTCTTTTATTATTATTATTATTTTTTTCCCGGGAAGGGAGCATTAGGGGTGCAGAGGCATGGGAGAGGTTTCCTTTGGGTTTCCCTTTAAGGTTTTAAAATGCGTCTGGTAGGCCGAGGTTATCATACCCTTATGAGAAATGTTTCGTTCCCCTTTCTAACCGATGTGGGATCTCACAATCCACCCCCCTTGGAGCCCAGCGTCCTCGCTGGCACACCACCTGGTGTCTCTGATACCATATGTAACAGCTCAAGCCCACCGCTAGCAGATAATCATTTTTGGGTTTTCTCTCAAGGTTTTAATACACATATGCTAGGGAGAGGTGTCCACACCCTTATAAGATATGTTTCGTTCCCCTCTTCAACCGATATGGGATCTCAAAATCCACTCCCCTTGAGGGCCCAGCATCCTCGCTGGCACACCGCCCGGTGTCTGGCTCTAATACCATCTATAACAGCCCAAGCCCATCGCTAGCAGATATTGTCCTCTTTGGACTTCCCCTTCTGGGCTTTCCCTCAAGATTTTAAAATGTGTCTACTACGGAAAGGTTTCTACATCCTTATAAGGAATGCTTCGTTCCCCTCTCCAACCGATGTGAGATCTCACAAAAACCGAGGAGAACAAGAAAAAAAATCTTTGTTCATTTTCATTCAGAAAGTGACACTGTTGAATATCCCTGCACATGCATATAAAGGAAGATAAGGTTTTCTCGGCGGGGCTCAATTAAAACATATGTGCGTTTACCCCGAAGTTAAAGCAACCAGTTGTGGATATAGTTCCTCATCCATTAGCGCCAATATAGAAGCACAATCTTCCCCTATAGCTTGCCGCAGACGTACTATGTCAGACTCCAAACTCTCAACAGCCTGACGAGTTTTCTTAGTCTTGGTCCAATCATAGTGTTCCTCTTGTTTTTGCAGTAGCAAAGCTTTCTTCTCATGCTCTAGAATGGTACCTTTTTCTTCCTGTAAAACACAAAAAAATTATAAGAAACAAGAACATGAAAAAATATCTCAATAAAACTTTATGAAGGATATAGGATCATATACAAGCCGTACTTAAATTTGGGAAGAAATAAAATTACTGTATATCTATTTTCTGAAGGTCCTCTTATAGAGAAGAAAAGACCATCAAACAATAAGAAAAAACATACAAATATAAATCATAAATACACACATAATACACAACCACTATTACAAAAAAAAAAAAAAAAAAAAAA